TACCGATTCTTGCAGAGTTGGACACACAGCTCCTCCGTCTTGTGCGGCTGTGAGGACGCTGCGACTTCTTGTTCGAAGCTTTGTGATTGGATCACAGACGCCATTCCATGACCACGGTGTCACAACACAATCAATAGGATTGCACGGCGCTTCTTCCAGTAACGGCGGACAAGGGTCGCCACCATCCGCTGGACATGTGACTTCACGAATACGCGACTTTTTCAGCCCGATGATTTTCCACGGACTCCAAGGACTCACAGCACAGTTGACAGGAGCGCACGACTTAATCTCGAAAAGGTTCGGACAGGTAGCACCGCCGTATCGAGGCCACGTGAGGACAAGGCGCGAGTGACTTCGCTTGCCGAAGAGACAGATACTCCATGGCGTCCAATCGCTTACAACGCAATCGATGGGATCGCACGGCACTGTTTCAGTCACTGGCGGACATGCAGCTCCACCGTCTTGAGGTTGTAAGAGTATGGCACGAGTTCTAGTCTTTCTACCACAAGAATGATCACAGGATGTGTAATCCGACCAGGGTCCGACTTCGCAGTCTCGAGGCACACAGCGTTGAGTTTCTTCCAGTGGTGGACATACAGCGCCGCCGTTTTGGGGCCAAAGAGTTACATTGCGACGGCGTGTTTTCGTCGATGATGCAGCGCAGCATGTGCTGAAGGGGCCCCATTCACTTACTTTGCAATCAATTTTTGGTTGAGGGCGATAAGCAGGCTGAAGGGCATTGAGAAGCCAAAACGTGTCTTGTTCTGCATGAACGCCAAGCGAAGTCGCCACCACAAGTGCTTGCGTCAAGACAACAAGGCGAGTAGGAATCCAGAGCATAACACAAGAATGATGCGCAAGACTTGAAAGGTGAATACTTGAGAGCGAACAAGGGATAGAGATGAAAAAAGTTTTTTCAAAATGAAGGTGAATGATCCGAGATCTTTTAGCATGTCATGTTTGACTGAGATCTTTCGTATCTTTCAACTCGTCCGGATTTTATCTTTGTTAGTCAATGAAATTGTTAAGATACTTGAGAAATTAGAACTCAATTGAATCTTGAGATTAGAACGACCAGTCGCGAACGAAAAGCTGCGATCTTAAGAAAAAATGTTTGTTGAACTTGATGGGAATGAATGTGTCTTTGTTTATTTCGTTAAATTTCGTTTGATATTTCGATATCAATTGTTAAAATTGGTGCATGTAAAGGTCCCTCGTGGTATTATTTATAAGTTTCCATTAATTGGGATTCTTTAACAGCTTGGTGCTATTTACTTTTTTCTTTCAAAATAGATATTCATTCCAGTACTGAAGTAATTTCTATCAGGGAGAATTGCAGATAATTTGAAATTGATTTTCGGATGGTGTGTCATCTGCGGTCACAACACGTTAAATGATTTACGTAAATCTTTTCTATTCACATGCCCTGATGAAGTTGTTGGTATATATGAGATGTCAAGAAATTTGGTGTGGTGTTAAGTCTGTTAACTCAGATACGAAGTACGTTATTAAGGAGAGACGATTGGTCATCCTGAGCTTTTTTAATTACATTCTGTTAGCCTCACTTGAGCAAAAATATAATAAATGGATATTGAAAAAGTTAAGAGGTGATATTATGTATTACACATTCATCTTAAATATATATCACGCCTGAAATTGCAGAGCAAAATGAGAAATATGGTACTTCTGAGGTTCTCGGTCTCGCTGCTGGGTGGAGCGTACGAATCCAAGTTTGTGTGTTGTGCATGCAGACTCATTGAGTTAAAGCTTTATCTGTACAAGGTTCACTGCAACCTCGTTCCGATCAGATTCCGATCTTTGAGCTGTCAGTAGGCTTTAACCCCAAAGTAGTCCATAGCATAAAGCGAATATGAAATGACTGGAATTATAACATAATGCGTCGCATTCTATTGACTCGTTCAAGCATAGAGCTTAAATAGGACCCTGTAGAATGCAGAGCGTGTTCGTGTTACTTGTGAGATATGTCTAAACGTAAAAGTCATTTTACTTCTAGCTACGATCGTACGGTACAATGTAGCGTAGACGCAACTTCGTCATGTAGACTGTTAATTATATGTGATCGTTGGTAAACGAAAAACTTGTACAAATTCATCTATACTTTATCTTTCGGTGGCTTCTACACGTTGCTTCTAATTGTCCTGGTCATCACTCTGAGCGTCACGCTCCTAGCGAATGGCACTCAATCTTGCTGGGATATAATCTTGGGCCAGGCTAATATCAACAGTTTGAGTTGCATCGAAGCTCTACCCCGACCAAATCGAAGCTACTTTGAGGCATTTTGTTTGAGACAAGGTGATCAGCAAAATCATTCGCATGAATGAGGTAAGTCTTGTAAAATCTTGATTACTTTCGTATATCCGGTAGACCAGCCTTGCGCCAGAAAATAGTAGAGCGCCAATGAATTCGATGCATGCGATGAGGATTTTTTTGGTTGACGCGTTTCGTGCATGCGCACATAGGCGCTTACCAATCTAAACAAGTTAAATGAATAGTGCATAGCGTCCACTGAGCCGTATGTGCTTTCTGTACCAAAGTGATCTTCTAAAAAAGCATCATGAGTCTCATCAGTATCTCGCATTTTAGTTTTTAATCACCACGCTGAGTGTCGGGTGGGTCCGTTGTAAACCTTGAGATAAAGCAAACGCGCAATCAAATCCTACGATATAGCGACATCCGAGCTGGAAATCTTTTGCCTATCAGATAATTCAACAGTACAACAGATGTTGTGTCTAACTCGGATCGCCTTGCCATGTATATTGCGGCTTATTGAACATCGCTGGTGCGCTAGATGGTCCATAGGGTATAAGTAGCTGGTCTCAGAGCACCGATGCCCACGTTTCTTAAAGCACGGAACACTGCCGTCGACAGCCGACAAGCGTGGGTTTACATTTCTTAGATCAAGTCGCTGCCTTAGCACTTGGTAGGACATCCTTGATCTCCACTGAATACAATCAAGTTCAATTCCTCCCAACTGCGCCAGTAGAGACTCGACGTTTCTCCCATTGGGGCCTGTTGGCCGACCCTGCATGAACGCTCGAATGTTCGCATTTTCCAATAATTCATGACATAAGTGTTTCTTATCACCACAGGTGAAACATTTGCGAGAACTGGGTAACTCGCAGAACGCCTCCAGGCGAGATACAGTCGATTTTGGCCCCCAGTCCGTCGATGACACAGTCACATTGTACCCTCCTGCCGAATAGTATTCGCTGCACTCATTACCAGCAGTTTACATCCTAATGCATGCTGTGGCTAGGTTAACCCTTCGGGTGAATAGCTTTTCGAGAGCTTTAGCACTACAATACTAAAGCAGAAAAGCAACACGTACGACTTTCTTAGAAAGATTTTTTCTGGTAAACTGCTTGTAGGCATGACAGGTGAACAACTCGTGTTCCATCCTAGCAAAGTAGTCGTATTGAGACTTGACCGTCATATTGACAACATGTACTGCAAAGTGTAATGAGATTGCCGCCCACCGCACACGCTCTACTAGCTCGCGCTCACAAAATCACATAAAATGAACCTTTACACTCCGCTCAGCTAAAATGATCCTAAATATAGCTAATATACTATCTACAAAGGCTATTAACAACATAGCGTGAGGCTAGCAGCCCACATAGTATAAGGACCTCATATTTATGGGATCCTTTAGCTCTTGATCTTTGCTTTTAGTCCGAGGGACAATTGTGACAATAGCGTAATTTGTACGTCTGTTATAAATTGTACTTATCCCGTTTCACCACAGCCCTTGCAGAAAATGGAAAGATGGTTATCCTTCTTCGCTAAGCAATCCTTTGACGAGTAAAAATCCCTGTCGGCTGATCATGATGGCGTATGCATTTTGCGCCTCCCAAATTACAAATTGTCATCACAATTATGATACTGCACTTTGTCAATGTTGAAGGTACAGCGTAGTCAGAGACTACCTATGTCAATTAAAAAAAAAGAATTTTATCACTCGGTTGTCGCTTTTTCTAAACATTTGGAAGCGCGTTTGCTCTGCTAATCTTTGTCCTAAGACTAGCCTGATTGGAAGCTCGACACACAGCAATCCTGGAGGAATTAATGTAAGAGAAAATACACTCGGCTCAGCGAGGGTCATATACTGGTAGCCCAAGATATTGGAATGGCTAAGCACTCATATGCGCAAATGTGTTTAGCCCTCATTACATGCATCGACGACTTGACTAACCTACCAGCATTCGCTAGAAGGTGGCAGTTTTAAGCATAACCTTTATTGAGTGTTCCCCAATACGGGTCCGGTAATACTGACATTTTGGTCATTGTAGACCGTCTGAACAGGACGGCTTCTTGATCCTGTCAGCGAGACTATTACTAGCGAAGATACAGCCAAGCTGCTCATCGGCAAAATCACGCCAACATAGCTTGCCAGTTGCCATTGTTTCATATATCTGTGATCTACAGCGAAGGGGATTGAATACCTCCGCGACGGAATATTCTTGAATTGACGGCAGGATAAACGGAATAGCGCTTTGTTAAATAACTTATTTAAAGCGCTTGCGCGATAGGATCGCGGTGCTGGAACGACAATTGGTAATCTTGTTTCGAGGCGATTGAATATCATGTGCCAAATGCAAGGTACTATTTTTGAAAGCCAAGATATGCAGAAGACGAGGCGCCTAGGAAATCGTTGCGAATTTTCTATGGCATACTAAGGATGACTCTTAAGGCATGAGTATAGCTCAGTAGATTACTTAAATAGCTCTTGACTAGAATACACTTTGGAAGAATATTTAGTTGTGATTTCATATTGGTAGTCGGGATCAAAATAGTCATCGAAAGCTTCAATATGTTCATAAAAAGATCCCCCTAACCACTTTCTGACATCCTCATATCCTTTCTAATTTGTTAGGAAATAAATTCAAAAATATACAGCAACAAAGCGCTGTTCCATCATTACCTTTGGAAGAGCTGGACTCATTCTGGTAGCGGACGGCAGAGTCACCTATGGGAAATTTATGTTCAAGTTCAAAAAAGACAAAATCGGTGCTACCTGGTATGATGGCTAGTAAACAGTATAAATGATCTATTTGCCTAACACTCCGTTCGTAGGATGGGCGCTTTGAACCCAAAAGGTTGATCAGTCCAATTATGTCATGGTTTAATGCAACAAATGTATTATTCTGAGGAAACGCTAAGGATTTATAAATGTAATAAAAAAGGTAATCTCCGAAAGTTATGCTATCTCATGGCGTCACGACTTCGACCATCGTTTTTTCTGCTTCTTCTTCACGTACCTGAGCGGCGTGTTTACGATAGATAGCCGCACCCGCAATGGCTGCAATAACAGCAGCTGCTGCGGCAATTACAGCGATCACACCTGCTGAAGTTCCGCCAGCAGAGACTGCCTCTGTGCCCGACGCCATCCAAATTGTTCCATTGCTTGCAGCACTGCCGTTACCGTGATACCAAGACCCTTTATAAGTTTTATTCTTGGCACCATACATGTGTTCATTGCTGCTATTGTAATCATATTTTTTTTGGCCATGCGTACGGTTGCTATCGTGATCAATGACGCAGCCCCAAGCACCGGTGTGGATTACCTGACAAGTGGCATTTTCAGATAGCACGCAGCTTTTGTCCTTTTTGTAGCTGACGAGACTTGGGTGGCAATCAGCTATAGCTACATCACCTTTTACGGGACATAGCGATCCGGTCGAATACAGACCATATCCACTGCAGATTGGACCGTCAATGCAATAGGTTGCATCGTGCTCGACACTGATAGCCCAGCAACTAAGTTTCTTATGCCAGTAGTGCGATTTCGTATATAGCGATGAGTCAACAGCTTTGTAGGTGACAGCTGATGCAAACAAGGCTAGCACCATGATATTGTGATTGAAAATTCCCGAGACTTTCATTTTTACTCTTTCTTGGATACGAAGTTTGAGTTGATTTGTTGCCTTTGACGCAAAATGCAGAATGAGATGATCTTGACTGCTGGTTTCGTAGGAAAAAGGAAAGGCAACTTGCTTACATTGAAGAAAGCACGAATTCTTAGTTTTGATGACTGGGGATGTCTGGTGCCATATTTATCTTGTGGTCATTATGCATGAAATGAGCATTATGGTTATCATGGTCGCCATTATAGCTTACTACTGGCATTTCAATTGGTATTTGTTTACTTTTGACGCCAATGCCTCGGTGTCATTCGTTACCATGCATTTTGAGTTGCAAGTGCATGACATTAGTTTAGCGATGCTAGAATGTAGCTTTTTGATACTCTGTTATCTATTCAGCACGCAATACTTCGAAGAATATGTAGCTATGGTAGTCGGTAGTTACGCCAGTCTGATATCGTAACGGCATCGACCTTTAAAATGAGTGCCAAATCTGGTGAGTTCTTTATCCTATTCTTGGTATTACTTAGCTTTGCTGCATGTTATTTAGTGTTCAACTTAGAATGCGTATCTCCTTTAGAAACTTCGAAGCCTAAGCCTTACACTAGCATTATGCTCTCGCTTGCGTTCATAATCATCTCTCAAACTCTGCAGAGTAGAAGTTTTAGCGTGTAGCCACCAGAAAGCAGAAGGAGTTACGCACGCGACTAAAGTGATCACAGACTCAATATTATATAATACCGTAGAAGCTACACTCGCAAAAAATCGGACATTCTATACTGAAGACATATCTTTAAAAGGTACTCAACTCGACCGTGATTGCTGCCAGTTTTTCCTTGACGGAAGCAATGAAAATTATCTCTTTCGGTTTGACATTTGACTTTAGAGCTACAGAGCTTTGGAGCAAGATTGCTGCGCTTCACAGTGTAAAATGTCATTCTTCGTATGCGTTAAACTTGCTTATCTCACTCTCTTTGAAGTCATAAAGGCCTGCTTTAAAATCATAGCTTGGGGTCTCATACTATTTCTGAGTATTTTTTTTTAATGAGGGAGGTACAGCTCTCAGTCGTCTGCTTCATGCTGTTTGCTGTCTATCTTAGCTACATACAAGTAGTAGCTTTGGCAGCGCACAAATCTTAGACTCATTTGACCAGAATCATTTATATCTATGTGCTTGAAGGATATCAACACTATTAGCAATATGCAGCTTTAAACCATGCATTCGCCTACGAGCCTGGAGGACAGAGTCTGGCTGCCCAGACCTGAATTCTCGCGAAAGAAAAATTAGGCGCGATGTATACTACTCAATATTGCTTTCCCAGAGTCGCTTAGGATCGGCTCACATTAGCACCGAATATATTTCATTCGTGATGATGCAGATATCGAAAGCCGTTAGAACATATATTTTTTTATATATTAGGTTTGTTTGTGATGATGCAGACGCCCTCTGCTTGAATGTGGTTGACTCAGATATTCGAGACATCCGTCTCGTTGACTAAGCAGACAAGAGTACTCTAGGCAATATTAGAATTCAAATAATGTCGCCGTTACTTAACCACAATCTGAAAAATCTTACACTGCTAATTGTATTTGATCAGAAAGTTTCAAAACGCATACTTTCTACTGCCATAGACAAGGTCTTTCGCTTCGACCTCTCATGATATGGGTCTAATAGATGACAAAGTCGTTTGAAACTTTACGCTACAATTTTTCTTTGAATGTTTTTGTAGAACTTCATATTGCAGAATGTCTCGACAGTCGACAACACTTTTTCTCAAAGCACTTTTCAATTTTGAATTTACAGATAATGGTTATGGGAATATATATTTTAAACCCTATCAATACAGACAACAAATACGACACATTGTCCTACAATCGTCTCATCGGGATCTGATTATGGCGTTACAACATCGACAAATTTCGTTATATCATCAACATTCTCAGATGCTTTCTTATGCTGCTTATACAGTGCGAAGCCGACAACTGCTGCAACACAGGCGGCACCAGCGGCGATAGAAGCGATGAAAATGGTTTCGCCAATGTAAGTGGTTTCGGAAGACGGCTTTGTGGACAATGATACTAAGTTTAAGATAATGTCATCAGCAGCAATATCTGTTACGTTGGTGGTGTTAACGTCGAACGAGAGCACACAGCCCCAAACGCCAGTCTCGATGACTTGACATGTGGATTCCACAGGGAGCTGACAAATTCCCGTGCTTGAGTAGCTGGGTAGATAACTATGACAATCGGCCGAAGATATGTCCCCTTTGACAGGACATTGTGAGCCAGCAGGTTTCAAGCCAGGTCCACTACAAATCGGGCCCTGGATGCAGTAGGTGGCATCATCCTTAACACTCACTTCCATACATCCAGTGGTTGAAACGTTTTGAGCTGCTGCCGATGTACCAAACAAAACTGTTGCTGTCATTGTTACGATCGTAGAAGTCTTCATGGTTTTATAGTAGACTGAAGTTGGAACGTACGAATTCGGTGTTTTGGGCCACAAGGAATCTGAAAATGGTAGAAATTCATGAGCCTTTGCCGACGAGCGAGAAAAGGAGATGCGAGAACTCTAGGGACAAATTCATCGACTGTAGAAAACTTCGTTTACAGACTTGTGCATAATGATTGAGTGACGACATTACTATACGGTAACAGCTCAACTATAGCGATCGTCGCGAAGTCGTCTGTTTCATTTTTCTGAAAAGTAGCAAACACACAAATGTTTCACTTAAGTACGACAGTACTAACCTTTAATGTATGAATGCCACATACAAAGCCATCAGTAAAACAATGAACATAATTAAGTAATCCAGCGACGTATAACTCTCGCTCGAATAGTGATAAGCTCTAATTCAGTATTCCACAAGTCAATCAATTTTGCTCACATAAATAAATGATCAAACGCGGTAAAATATGGAGTCACGACCTAAGGCAATAGGGTTTGATAACTCACTGTGTTACTACACTGTAGGTTCGTACAATCCCATAAATGGTAGGTTGCGTTGTATCCACCATGTAATAGTAACACATGGTGAGTTTTCGTCTTTTGTATCAAAAATCTTTGTTTTTTTTTAAAATGCAAGTATATTGATAATAAATGTATAACCTTATTCATTCTCAAACTTTAATTTGATACTTTGGTCTAATGATGTAACGCTACCTAATATGTACATAACTGAGACAAGACAGACAACTCGTTTTTCAAAATTATGTAAACTTGTGTATCAATATAACATAGATACACGTCATACGCTATAACAATGCCGCGCAGTGTGAAGATATCAGCGGACACACCAGGCGTGACAGTCAAGACTTCAGATGGTCGCGAGTTGACATTACGAAGAGGTTTGACATTTCTAGATCGTCCTACAGCTACTGCCTTTTTCCAAGACTTTGCCAAAGCACAGAGCAAGCGTTTGATTATTGATAAGCGAAAATCTGGTGGTGCTCAGTACGAATACGTTTGTGCTAGCCGCACACCACCGTGTCCTTTCCGCATTAAATTGCTTAAAAGTCGAAGTGCACATAGCTCACACTTTTTTGTGAGTTCATTCATTGCACAACATACTCCAGATTGTGCAGGAGCATCGAAGCTTACAGTACGTCAAGCTGCTGCTGTGCTCTTGGCTGATGCTGATGCAGCATCAATTTCTGCTGCTGCTTCTAGTGTTTCGTGTGTTAAAGAGTTACAAGAACGATTGCAACAATCAAGTGGAGAAACAATCTCGTCTAGGAAGGCGTATCGAGTACGAGATCGGATTCTCCATCTTGCAGCAGGACAATTGACGAAAGGGTTCCAAAGACTCGAAAGTTTATTGTTGGGATTTAAAAGTAAAAATCATGGAGCTCATGTAGCTTTCGAAACTGATCCGACATCTGAGATGTTTAAAAGAGCATTTCTAGCGCATCCATTTGTAGCATTGTATCAACATTCAAATGGATTGCAGCCAGTATTTGGATTGGATACTGCCCCACTTGTAAGTGTAAATTATCGTGGACAAATGTTTGTCTTGTTGGGAAAAGATGGCAACAATGAAGTCATTCCTCTCTGCGTTGCTGTTGCTCCTCAATCAGATGCAGCAAATTGGCGGTGGTTTTTAATGAATTGTCAGCAAGCACAAGTGGATTTTTCCAGGTCAGTATTTCTTGCAGATCGAACCAGGTGTCTTCTTGCTGCAATAGAAGGACTTGGATTGCTTGTGAGGCAGTGTACACAGCATTTAATAACAAATTTAAAAGACATGGTCAAAAGTTTGCCAACAGAGCAAGTGGAGGATTTGGTACGACGAGCTCAAGCCGCAGACAGTGAAGCGGAGTTCAGCTCATGTTTAAGTATGATTGGATTGACTTGTCCGACAGCTGAAAATTACTTGCGTAGTATGGATCCGTGTACGTGGACATTATTTTGTATATCACAACAAATTAAATTGTACGGCTGGAACTCTACACAATTCTCGGCCGAAGATCATAAGTCGTTGTTGTCTCTTGCTCCTTATGACTTGATGCAACACTACATGGAAAAATTTATGACTCTGAGCTACAAACAAAGTGTGCTTGCTAAGACATGGGCGAAGGATGGTAAATTGTTTACTGAATATGCTGAAAAACTGCTTGCTGAACAACAAGAAGGTGCAAAGTTCCAGGTCGTACAGCCGTCCGACGATAGTGTCATGTTTGTTACCGAATCTCGTTCATTTCCGCCTCGACGTTATCGTGTAGATCTTAATCAACGCGTATGTTCCTGCACCTATTTGTTCCAAATGGGAGTGCCATGTCGTCACTTTCTTGCAGGACTTAATTTCTGTAAGCGCTCGAAAGACGTAGCGGAGTATGTGGATATATGCTATAAAAGTAGCACTTTTGTGAAGCAGTATGATAGCCAACGCACTGGAAGTATTGAGTTGTTGCTTGACTCGGAATTGGAAGAAAATCGTGCAGTGAAAGCTCCAATCATGGCACGTAAGCGTGGACGACCTAAAAAGAAACCACTTGCCTCCAGTGGTGAAACGATCATGACCCCTGCAGTTGCCAATGCACTTTTAAAGGGTGAGAACAAATTGTTGCAGCTTGGTTAAGATACAAGCTCAAAGCAGCGTTGCTTGACTTGTAGCAAGACTGGATACAGCAAACACAATGTCGATGTCTTGATTTCGTTGGCGAGAGGCCCAACATGATGAGTAGGGATGTAAGAAATAGGATCATCAAATAATTGTATGAAATGTGGTTGTTTGAGTCTCTACTTTTCGCTCAGATTATAAGCATCCAGTGATCTTAAGGTTGCAGTAATATATCGATCTATACTAAAATGCTTGACTTGAGCAAGCTGACGCTATGACCAACGTGTCGTATTGTAAAGCAAGTGACTACAGGTTGTCGTTCAAAACTGGGATTGACATTCAGCCCGGAAATTTCCTCTTTTTAACTTCCACACTACCGAAATTAGATACCATCTACATCGTCCTGGCTGAGACCTTCATAGCATGTAAGGCCTGCAGCATTCTGGGTCGTATCTTTCGCTCCTTTCTTCTTGAGATATTCGGCAAGACTATTGTGTTTATATGCGTACAAATAATGCATCGCAGTGTTGCCATTCAAATTTTGCAAATTCATGTCGGCTCGACGACGCAGTAAAAATTTGGCTAATCGTTTGTCACCCTGTTGACAAGCAAGAATAAAAAGCGTATTTCCATGATAATCGCGGGTATTGACGTCCACTCCTTGATCTAGTATCAATTCAAGCTGCAAAAGACATAAACGAGATAAGCGAATTTTCAATACAGCAGTTTAAAAGCAATCGTACGCCTTCGAGATTGTGGTTACGAGCACAAAGCACAGCACGAGCCTCTCGCTGTTCCTTCGTATCGTTTTGTCGACTTAATTCGAGCTCCAAAGAGTCATCTTCTAGCTCAAAACCAGATATTGCTCCACGTCGAACACGAGAATTTGGTGTTCCCGGTGTCTTTTGAGCACGCAAAGAACGTAATTTCTTTTCATTTAAATCTTCAGACGGGTTTGATACGAAAAGGGAACGCAACTCAGGAATAAAGTCAGGCATGTCATGAACAGAACAGTCGGCAGGATCAAGCATTCCAACAGGAGTGGCATGATTAGTTTGATTTATAAAACTTGAGCGAGGACCTTCTGTGTGCGTTCGATAGACACTTCGAGCAAAATTCGGGGGCAATCGTGACGTTTTGAGACGTTTCCAGCCTTCTGCACGATTTTTAACGAGCTGAGATGACTCTAATCCATGTTCAAATTGTAGCTTGGCCATTTCTTTTGATAAAAATGAAGACTTCATACCATCTTCTGTTCGTTCGTTCAGCTCGATATTAAAATTGCCGGCAGTCTCGTGGTCATCGTCTTGAACATTACAACTGTGTCGTTCGAAACGCGCTGCGTCTAATGCTTGAGATTCCAAGCCTAACTTAATCTTTAATTGCTGTAGAAAGTGTTCATCCTCTAACAACGAATGCACCAATCTATCCTGAGCTTCCACATTGACTTGTTTTCCCGTTTCGATCGTAGTCCCTGTAGCAGATTTTAAAGTTTCAAGCTCCGAATCTTCAGTAGTCTCGATGCTTTTAATCATTTCATCGTATTCTTTGTTAGCCTCCCAGTCCTGCGGTCGTTCCCAAAGAAATCGTCTGGTTACAGGTAAACTTTCATTGAGCGAATGAAAAAACACCACGCCACCACCATCCACCATGATCTCTCGCATTTCCCAATGTCCATGCTGCTCGATTACAATCGATCCATTTAGTCTCTGAGTCCATTCCAAAGCTACAGCTTCTTCCACTGCATCATTCAAACCCCCTTTGCTCCGAATATCAGCCCGAACTGCAGTGGACTCGAGTTCCTGCTCTATTCTTCTTTGTTCTTGTCGTTTTTTTTCCAAAGCCTGTCGACCTATTGCCAGCTTTCGCTCAATCTCGCATAGTTTCGCTTCGTAAGCTACACGAGCTTCTCGGTTTGCATCGATAGCCAAATAAGTCGAAAGCGGAGCACCAATCACATCGACCATCACCTCGTGATTCATGATTACAGTAAAGCAATATGCTTCATTTGATCCACTCGTCTTGTGGTTCTGAAGTATGTATAAAAAATCATTCTCAATACGACGTCGGGACAGAAAGTTCACAATAGGATCGATTGCATGCCAACAATGTCGACCACAAACACCAGGAACGTTCGGGTGGGCGATAGTGATGCTGCAGTGTTGCATATCAACATCGTATTGTGGAGTTAACGTGCTTTCATCGGTCAGTAAAAGCCACTGCCGAAAAGAATGTCGAGCTGAAAACTCGGTCCAGCCACGACGATGTCCTACAATATCTGTCAGCTGTAGCCAATGATCTTCTTCTTGTGCTTTGTTGTTAAAGAGTGTGATAGTACTAGGAAGTAATCCGTCTAAAATTGAGTCTAAAGGTGAACTGAGCAAGGTTTTAGGACAGGGTGAAGTGACCGGAACGATCCGAATGATGCCGTTATCAATCACATTCTCAGGCTCCATAGGTGGCATCTCGGAGTCCACATGCCATACAAAACATTTCGGCGCTAAGATTGGAGTGTCTAATGCAAGTACAAGCCTGACAACGATAGAGTTGGACGATGATAGTTTGTTATCTCGTTTGAAAAGACCCACAGTCTTGGTGTACTCTGGCGGTGAGTCTCCTACTTCAAAGCCTTGATTATCCGGATCGTACCGCCACCACAAAACAGGTTCTTTTCCCACAAGAGCCACTCCAGGTACTTGATCTAAAGCATTCGGTTGACTTTCTGGGTCCCATTCGCCGCAACATAACAAACTCAGTGGATAAAAACAAGTTTTTTTTCTAGGTGGATTTTGCTGATCGGTGAATTCAGAATGCAACATCATATCGGTTTGATGATTCAACACTCTGCCTTTGATGGACACAACATGCTTTAAAGCTCTTTCAGCTGAAATCGATTGAACTTGCGAGTATCCTTCTCGTATTGCTTGATAGTCTCGACGATCACTGAGCGAATGTCTTTCAGAATCAAGATATTTGCTGTCTTCATCATGCTTTACAAGACGATTGTTAAAGTGATCAAGATTGGTCAGCCAGATATGATTAACGTCAAAGATGAATGTTTTCGTCAAATTGCGCTTGTAAGTCTCAGTTTGAACATTCATGTTTTCAAGACATTGTAGCTTTTCAAATAGCTCACAAATTGGATGTCGTGACACTTTAGGAATCACAGCAAGACTAACTTTCTTTGTGTCAACGACTTCTTGCATCTTCATCTCTTCCTGGGACTTCTGAAGTGATAAATACGCAAACCATGCCTTCTCACGATTTGTTTCACTACGATACATGATATATAAATCATCCGACAGCCAACTCGTCGGTCCTTGAAGTTCCAGACTTGTCATTAATGCAACAGCTTCCCCATCAATTTGTTTTCCACCTTTGCCAGTCGGATACACTCGCGAGTGAACTTCACAGCCCGTGACTTTGTCAGGTGTGGCCCAACAAGCGTTGCACATTCGCTTGTCGACTGCATGATCTGCTCGATGAGCAGAAGACGCTGCTCCAATTGAATCATGTAGTCCCATTTTTCGAAATAATAAAGCGACATTATCCACCGTCTGCAGCGTCTTCTTTAACTTCTGTCCAGGTGATTTTGTCCCTCCACTTCCTGCATCTGCTCGAAGTGCCGTAAGAGATTTATACAATGGAGACTCGAGCAACTTGAGCGTCGATGAGCATTTGAGATGCAATTTGCTTGACGGTTTACTACTTCGATTAATCGCTGGTAAATTCAATGGCTTATAGATGCTTCCAGGTGGAATCGAAGCAATTGGAGAGCGTGGTGGCGGCAATTTTGGTAAGTTTAAGTCATCTACTTCATTATTAAAAAGATTCGGCGAGCGCTGATTGCTTAATGTTGGCGATTCTGGAGCCGAGAAAATGAGAGTGCCACCTGATGCATACGTGACTCGCAACTCATCTCGTGTGGGTCGATTACTTGATTGATTCGGCTTAGCAGCTTTCGTTGACCCTTTAATTAGTGCTACACGATCTCTTATAGCTTGTTGTTGCTGCTTTTTATTCTGTTCTTTAAGAATCTTTCGTGCACTCGACTCGACACTGTTTAAGAACGTTGTCAGGTCATCCATTGCATTCAGACATGAATTGAAAACATTGTCAACACATTAAGAGACACTATAACCGCTTAATGTTGTAACTAGGTCAAGAAAACTAAATCTGGATCAGGAAATGCTATCTACTTTCAAAATTCTCGTTAAAATTCTAAGTACTCTTGAGTGTCACGCGGGACTTAAATGCATTATAGCGACATTTGCCATAACCCAAAAAGTCGAAATCAATTGTTGATTGTGACGCTTGAATGTAACCCCAAATGGCCCAAAACAAGTGCGATGCTAGCGAAAACGTATTTGCTTCATGTCGTAACCTCTCAATCTCTTCATCACTCACATCATCTTCATTTCCGTCCTTCCCCGCAAGATACGCACGGCAAAAAGATCGCTGTTGTTCCTGGGTTGGATACTTACTAAAGTCACCCAGATGTGCATTCACTGTCTTATGATAATCATACGCCCATTCACAGAAATGGTTACCCAGATCATAACCTCTCGGATTATAGCTCGTATATTCAAAATCAATCAGCACAGCATCACCAGCGTCATTCTTCATAATGTTACCGTATTGCAGATCATTGTGACTAAGTACAATAGGAGATGGGACTTGATCCAATATTTCCTTCAATTCGTCAATATCCTTTTCAAGCTGCTCAAAGTCTACAATGTCGTTAAAAATCTCGGTCGTACACTTAACGCGCGCAACCTGTAGCAACTTTTGAATGCTCGTTATATACGTGGGGATTCGGTCAATATCGATGTCAAGCTCATGAAAGACACGCAATTGTTTTGCAATGATACGAGATTCATCTGGTTGTCGCATACGTTTGCTTGTGTACGTGGTGCCATGTATAAGCTTCTCTGCTCTTCCATTATTGAATTCACCAAGTAGCTCCACCCCGATTTTCTGATCGCTTAAAAGTTGAAATAGCCGAGTCTCATCTTTTCTAGAAAAAAATGACTCGGTACCTTCACCGTATACTCGAACAAGGACATCACAGTGTTGTCCTTCGGGCTTATGTACCGCAAAGATGAGGTTTGTCATCGCACCGCCTAAATGTTCGACATCCACCGAATCAGACTCGACGTCGCGCCAACTTGGTATACATTTAGTAAGTGTCGAGACGATTGATGAGTGAAGATTTAGCTTTGCTTTACCCAATGCAGCTACTGCCGCTAAGTAAGGGGCTACGACTACGGCACTATTGTCGTGATTTAATGTCATGTAGTGTGTTTTGTTTACGTGAAAAGGAGTTCTGACGACTCGACGAAGAAAGTGGTGAGAAATGAACATTATTACTGGAACGACGTTAGTGACCAATCACCTTGAGAGAATTTCAGTGCACGATTTGACACTTTTCCACCTATTATTTAAGATTTGATCGGTAAACTTCACTGAGGACAATTTGAACAAGCGGGGCGGAGCTTATGCTATCTAACATACGTGGAAGTAATACATTCAATTTTTACCTAAGCACTTTGTAAATGAATTATCACAATTGAGGGCAAAGTAGTTTTTTTGTAGGTACATCAGCTTGCGTGCAGACAAGACCACAATGCTCTATCCCAATCAACAAACCTTTAACGGAAAGTGCAGCAAAATAGTGAAGACTGAGACACCTCCGTTTCCTTTCTGTTTTGCTCACAAACATAGAGCACCGATACAACAAAACCACGTACTCGTTGAGAAACGCCAAGACGTTCGAACACACAACTACTCAGTATCTCACCATGACTGACGTAAAGTTTTTTTTGGTAATAATCCCGTATGATGTATATTCAGTCATATGACGCCAATGCTACACTACTTCTGGTATAGGCTCGAGCCTGGAATTCCTTTCCATTAGCTTCAGTTAGTCATCAATGTTTTTCATAGCAAAATATTCGCTAGTTGAAGTAGTGTCAATTTATTAGGTCCTATTCTTAGCTTTCTAAATTCTTTTTTATGGAATGATTTGCCATGACGATGGAAACATTCGTACGTTCAGAAAGAAGAAATGTGTCGCTGGCCATAATGGTGGCAACTAAAGCGGTGATCGAGCAGCACTTGCAGACCGATCACTGGTTCTTTTCTATCGCAGAAAATAGTTTTTTCTCTGACATCGTTGTGTGCAAGGCGGAGACTCATACCTCGCGGATTGCAATCGCGAATGATGTGTGCAACAGGTTAGGGCAGCGCCCGACGACTTGATCAATGTGGACAGAATTGACCATTCGTTGGCACAAACTTTTGATGATTTACTTTGATTATCTGCAGAGCTAAAGTGAAGTGAGCTAAGGAACATGGTGAAAAACAGCCAGATGGCAGCCACGTAAGCGCCGCATACGAGCAACTGGATCACTATGTTACTTTCAGGAGCTTTTTGTCTTTAAGGTCAGGCTTTATTAGGCAACATTGAAGAAGAATTCGGACTCTACCATTGGAGAGATGTTTATGAAAGATTGTTTTACATCAGACAATATTGTCGTATCGTCATGATACCGTAAAAGAGAAAATTCTAGATCGTTACGTCAACAGCCTTCTTTCTTATTGGCGCAAAGATTGCCTTGATATTATTTCTTACGTTCTATACGCTTTCAGCATGAAAACAGTCACAACGATAATATGTAGCAATATTCTCAATGAAAACTATCAGAAGAAAGACTAAGTTTAATTACCTTCTGTCAATAAGATCGCTCCTCTCTAAAAGTGCGACATTCACACATTCCATCAAAAAAATAGGAACGAATTTTAAGCATACAAATACGTGTGCAAATGATTAGGAAAAAACTAATACATGTCGCCTTCAAAAAGTAGTTCATCCTCTTTCTTTCGGTAAATCTGATCGCCTTCATGCAATGACACGTCAAGACTTGCGGGACCGATAGGGCGTTGCAATGCCACAGGCTGTTTATCGCCAGCAGTAAGAGGCGTCATAATTTCCTCGTAATCATCCGTAGCCTCCTGTTCACGCATGAGTGCCGTCTGTCGAGCACGTTCACGCACCTTAGCACCAAAATGAATGAGGCACATAAGAAGAGCAACACCACCAATGACAATGGCCGTGATAGCTGGACCACTTAGTTTGGTCGTCTTTGTAGGGGTCTTTGTATACGTTTCATATGTCGTGTCCCAGTCTGAAGCCAAGCCCGTACGCGATGTGCAGCATTCGAGGTGTTGTTCCCAAACAGCGTTCGTAATGACGCATCGACCAGCAAGACCCTCGCACTTTTCTGCCAGATTCTTCCACGTGTATGACTTTGTCTTAGAGAAGGCTAATTGACTCGTCAGACACCCGCTTAGAACCATTGGTGTGCCTCGAGGATCACCGTAGCAACCGTGTTGTATCATCTTGGACCCCTTAATGCTTCTTGTGTTACTGGTATAGCGAATATCTTGTTTTCCAACCGCCCAGAACGTTTCACAATCAGTCGAAGCAAAGAGGATGGCCGTCATCGAATCAGTCAGTGGCCTGAGCGCATTGTTAATGCGCCATTCAAGCGTAGGGCCAAACAAAAATCCACAATTCTCAGCACTAGCAGGTGATGCCTCTGTTGAGCATGAGGGCTGAACAGTGGAAGTCGAAGAATAACAGCAACCATTGCTTCGAACCTGCGTGTAAATAGCAGGCAGTGATGCTGTCATTGTCATGTTACTCGCATTGATCCTCGTGCCATCGTAACTCTCAGTTGGCGCGATACACGTGTAAGGACATGTGACACAGCCACCATTAGACTCGTAATTGCTCCAATCGTCCGTAGCGATTTCAATCACGTAGCCAGCTGACTGGTTAAAGTAATTCTTAGCTTGGACAAGTGAGACCAGCCAAAAGGGCGCTAGTAGCGCAAAGCAGCGAAGAGTATACAGCATGAGTGTTGAAGACTCTGGATAGACCGCCCGATTCAAAGGGTGGTGAGTTCTGTCGTGGCTTTACGACTGCGCCAGGAGAAAAATACAGAGTGGGGTGCAATCCAAAAAGGGGAACAGGAGTTGCGAAGGCAAAACGGAAGATGTGTAAATTACCGATAAATTACGGCGAAAAGGAGTCAGCGCACCATCTGGTCAAGTAAAAATTCACCCATTGTCACAATAAAAATTTCAGAAACCACCGAATTAAAGTGTCTTGAAGACGTTGAGCAGACACGACCGCATGCCACGCCATTTGGCATTGCAGGAACTGCTTGATGCTGGTGCTGCAACTTCACGACAATGCTTATAATGCATAATTTATCTTGGTCGTGTATTGTGTAAGTGATGTATGGTTGATCGATACTTGAGGTGATCAAAATGTGGATCGTCTTTTTCTTTCAACCATAATCTACACAAAATTTGACTTGATTATTGCCATCAGCGTGACGAGAAGATTTCGAATTTTTTGCAGAATTTAGCTCTCAGTCTTAGCACACAAACTCTTTCAAATCAATTTAGGATGAAATGACTTAGTGCTCATACAAATATTCATGAAAAGTTTAGGCATCGCCACTACGCAAGCAAACAGGACGCCAGTCGTGCTTCGTGGGCAAAGTCTCGCATAGACGACGAGATGTCGCGCTTTTTTTATATAAGCCTTCAGCATATCTGAGCCCAATCACTTACCAACTGGGCTGGAATAGCACTCGTCATATGTCTTGATGTGGCTAGAAATCTCGTGACTCACATGGGCACCTGTTTTGTTTAAGCATTTATTGCACATGAAATATCCTATAATGATTAATCGAGCGAATTCTTTTCATTACTAAATTGATCTACTGTATGCACGTGGACGGTGCGCAGACGCGCCTGCAATTTCGGCGATTACCGCCACGTACGTGCGCTTTGCGAAATCTTTTGCTGCGCTAATGCTCGTGTTGTCGCTATGATTTCAAATTTATCATGTGCAAATACTGACCGGAACAATCCGATAGGCGATTCGTCTCAGTTGAAGCGCAGCTGATCGCAAAGTATGAGTGTAGAGAGAAGGAGGTTACACATAAATACATTTATTTATAACTTATACCCGATGACAACGGTAACCGAGTAGAAACCTTCTGGATCCTGAGTTGCATGAAGCCAGTTTGAACATATCGCCCCCATCTCTCGCCAGCTGCTATGGATTCTCGCAATATATTACCGTAATTTATAGCTCCTGTCGCACGCCAGAGGAAACGCCCGCGCCTTCACATAGAAAAACCCCGACCAAGGAGAAACCGAGCAAACTCAAGACCTCATTTCTGGTTTTGTGTTCACTCGACAGCAGACCAAAGCGCGCCAGCTCTCTTCCTCTTTTTGAAGTCGACTGACTAGGCGCCTTACCTTATCGTCGGAACGAACTTGAATCAAACACTTTAGAAAACAAACACTTCTACTTGAGCAAGTAGTAGCGGCTTTCTAGCACCATGGGGCTCACTGGCGCGGGTGTTATCGCCTCCGTCGTGGGTATCCTAGGCGGTCTGTCGCTATCCTGCGGTGGATGGTCGTCGCTGTCACTTGGCGCTCGCTCACTTTTTGTGACTACGCAATTTCTTTCCGCCTTTGCCATGTAAGTTGTCACTCACCATCACTCTCTTTGTTAAACGTTAACAATTATAACATGTCTATTTATATTTGATAGGGGATTTGTGGTTGCTTTTACTGCCATCGTCTCATTATCGGACACAAATGAATGGGTTGCTTTAGCAGCAGGAGGAGGCGCAGGCTTTGTGATTGCTCTTATTGTTGGATTCATGACGTTCTTTGGACCGTACATACTAATTTTGATCACGGGTGGCGTCATCGCGTGCTACTTGCTGCTTATTGACGCATACAATGGTATCAACGTGTTTCCAGCGGATAATCAATTGGCTCGTCAAGAATTTGTCATTGCTTTTATGATTATTTTCGAGCTTGTATGTAGCTCATCTTCTAAAACAACGGAATTAGAGAATCATCGATTTAAGTATATCATCTTTTCTGCCATAACTGGTGGATGGATGGCTGGTGACGGCGTTTCTCGTCTCATTGACTCGACAGCTGTGCTTTCGACTGTGGCTTACACGTCGTTTCAAGATGGAGGCAAGGCTGCACTACGAGGCATTGACGCGAGCGGGCAATCACTTATGTTTCTTATTTGGGCCGCCGTTGTGGTGATTGGAGGTCTTAACCAGCTGGCCATGCGCTGGGGCCTTGTGTGCTACAATCGTGTGGGTGCCCACGCTCAATTGGGACCTGTTGAAGAGCAGCTGCCAGAGCTTCCTACTGGAGCAACGCTACCAGCTCAAACAATGACCGAACGTGTACGTCTCGTGTGTGAGAATTGCTTTGCCACTGTTCCAGCTGGCACTGCTTTCTGTACAGAATGTGGTGAAGCGATGCCTTCGGAAGACGCAAATCCTGATGTGAGCATTTCACAGGCTCAAATGCCATCTGTGGCTATGAACAATAAAAGTCAAGTGCCAGACCGCTGGCAGCAAGTGCCACATCGTACGTACATGAGTACAACATCATTTGTTGACCCGAAACATGCCAAGGAAGGTGGCGTGAGTATGAAGGACAACAGTCGCAGTATCCGCTTTATGGACTCGGGTGTTCAAGGTCCAGATGGTAAAATGAGTCAGTATAATGACTCAATAGCCGGTGTTCGCAACTACTATGAACCATCATTTCGATCATTTGCCATGTCCACATACTCTATTGCCAATCGCGCTGCGGAACCGGTGGAAACACCTAACATCCGCAAGTACAAAATGTCGGGTAGTGGCATGTTTCACGTCTTTTACTTCGGCACGGCGGCTACCGGTATTTTCTGGTTGTATTATCTCACAACTATGTACCCTCAGCAGTATTTCTGTGACCATGCACGTCCGACGCTTCCATGTAGTGAACTACCGACAAGTGAAATTGTAGGATGCTACAGTTCAACTGTCAACTTTGATGCTGGATCTGGAGAAGGGTATTGTATTAAGGATGTGCCCTTCATGTCGTGGGTCATGTACGCTATGATGATTTTCAGCGAGTTTCTCAATTTTTTCCTGGGTTTGCTGTTTAACTTCAGTATGTGGCGCCCCATTCGTCGTGGAGCTCGTTTCATGAATGACTTTAAGCCGCCTATTCCAAAGGAACAGTGGCCGACTGTTGATATTTTCTTGTGTCACTACATGGAACCAGTGACGGATTCTATGCAGACACTAAAAAATTGTCTGGCCATGCAATATCCTCCTGAACTGCTTCATATCTTTGTTTTGGATGATGGTTACACCAAGTCAGTTTGGGATGCTAATAATCATTTCAAAGTGACAGTCAATACGAAGGTGATTGAGATTGCTGGTGACTTACGTGGCGATCTGGCCCGATTAATGCACGAGCGCGTTGTTGGACCTGTACAGGACGATCAGAGTCTAAAGTCGTGGCGACGTCAGCATAGTTCTGTCCGAGAGCTTCGTAAAGAGGGAGGAAAAGGTGTTCAGCGTCGTGATTGTGCTGTCGGCTCACTATCGGATGATTATGATTACCGTGATCGAGGTATCCCGCGTGTGACCTTCATTGGTCGCATGAAACCTGAGACCCATCACTCCAAGGCCGGTAACATCAACAACGCGCTGTTTAATGAAGGAGCTGACGGAAAGTATCTGCTGATTCTTGATAACGATATGAAGCCGCACCCGAAGTTTCTCCTTGCCGTGCTTCCGTTCTTCTTCTCGGAAGGCGAAGCCGTGGATGGCGGAGGCCGCCAGTACAGTGATGACATTTCGTGGAATCAAGTGTCCTACGTACAGACGCCACAATATTTCGAAGACACGCCGCAGCTGACCATCATGGGTGACCCGTGTGGACACAAGAATACCATTTTCTTCGATGCCGTGCAATGTGGTCGTGATGGTTTTGACTCTGCTGCCTTTGCCGGCACGAACGCTGTTTTCCGCCGACAGGCCTTTGACTCGATTGGTGGCATTTGCTATGGTACGCAGACGGAAGATGCGTATACTGGTAACGTGCTTCACACTTCCGGCTGGGACTCGGTTTACTTTCGAAAGGACTTTGAAGGCGATGCTAAGGATCGTATTCGTCTGTGTGAAGGTGCGGTGCCCGAAACTGTGGCTGCAGCCATGGGCCAGAAGAAACGTTGGGCTAAGGGTGCTGTCCAAATTCTACTTATGAAAAATGAGAGTGAGGTCGACCCGGACTGGCGTCCACCGCGCGTGCCGGCTCCGGACCCAAAGCCGTCGCTAGCTTTTCCGCGTAAGATGTTCTTCTACGATTCAGTGCTTTATCCGTTCGGTTCGATCCCTGCTCTATGCTACGTGGCAATCGCCGTCTACTACCTGTGCACAGGTGATGCACCCATCTACGCACGCGGTACAAAGTTTCTCTATTCTTTCTTGCCTGTGACTTTCTGTCGTTGGGTACTCAACCTGCTGGCCAATCGTGCTGTCGATAACAATGACGTGTGGCGTGCTCAGCAGACGTGGTTCTCCTTCTCATTTATCACGATGATGGCTATCGTTGAGGCTATACAAGCGCGTGTGACGGGCAAAGACAAATCGTGGGCTAATACTGGTGCAGGACAGAAAACGTCCTGGACGGAAATTCCCAACGTTTTGTTTTTCTTCACACTACTTTTCAGTCAGGTGGTGGCCTTGATTCGATTCTTCGAGTATGAAAATGCAACAAATCCCTGGAACTACGTATCTGCCATGTTTTTTGGCTTTTTTGTCATGAGCCAATTCTACCCCATGGTCAAGATGAGTATCACTGAATATTGTGGATGGGACCACACTGCTGCTACCTTTACCGCAAATGTGTTCGGCTCGTTATTGGTCGTTTACGTTGTCGTGTTTGTGCAGCTATGGCAAGTCTACTACGAAGGAAACTTGCTAGTGGCTCAAGGTACCGACGGTGGTGGTGGTGATGCTGCCACGCCTGCAACGTAAAAGATTAAGACGAGATTGCCACTAGGCGTCTTGCTTTGAAGAAAGTAAGGCAGAGTGCAGTAGGTGTAGCCTATGTAGCGATTCAGGTGTACGCTGGACTTTGATCTTTCGAAGCAGTTGAACATTTTCATACATTAATGGTTTTTGCCTAAATTGGCGTTTATTTTTGATGAAGTGGTTGCACAGGCACCGTTTGTCGATTCTTTTCGTCTTGAATCTTATGAGACTCTTGCTGATTCTTCTACTATCATCCAGAGCATATGCAGCCAAAGATCTCAGTGCTTGGGCTTTAGCTCTTCAACCTCATCGTGAGTGCACAGTTGAAGGATATTATTCGGTTCCAGGTTCGACGAAATCGCAATCGTGTCCAGACTTGGAACTCTGTCCACCGGGTTCCTACTGCACGTAAGCTTAAATTTATTCTATGCCACTCTACTCTAAGCATGTTTTGATATTATGTGCAGTGGTGGAGAACAAAAGCCATGTCCTGCTGGAGTGTATGGAGATGTGGAAGCATTACATACGAAAGAGTGCTCAGCTCCATGTCCTGAAGGCTACTTTTGCCCATTAGGAACAGCAATACCAATAAAATGTGGTGCTGCAGATGTGTATTGCCCTTTAAGTTCGACGCACCCTCTTCCAGTGCCTAAAGGTTTCTATGCACTTGGTGGTACACCGTCAACTCGTCGTAGCATTCATCCGTGCAATCCTGGATCCTTTTGTGTCGCTGGAAAGTCACAAAAATGTCCTTCACGGACGTATGGAGCAACTGCTAAACTCTCATCACCTAAATGTACAGGACTATGTCCAGTAGGCCATTATTGTCCTACAGCCAGCATTCAACCGATTCCGTGCCGATCTGGGACTTATGGAGATACACCAGGTCTTAGTGATGAAAGTTGCTCAAATCTTTGTCCACCTGGTTACGCTTGCCCTGAAGGCACAGCATCAGCTACAACGTGGCCATGTCCTCATGATACTTTCTGTCCATTAGGTAGTTCCAAGCCTCAAGCACCTCATCTTGGTTTCCACGTAGTTCGAAAGACAGTGACAGAAGAAGTGGCTTGTCCTAAAGGCTCGTACTGCAGTCCAGTAGAAGCTCCAGGTGTTTCAAAACTTTGTCCAGGTGGAACGTTTGGAAATGTCACTGGATTGACAACTTCTGCATGTTCAGGACTGTGTGAGGCAGGATATTTTTGCCCTCGAGGTAGCACAAATGCCACACAGCATCCGTGTGGAAACGTAGATGTCTTTTGTCCGCCTGGTTCGACAACTCCAACGTTAGTATCTCGAGGTTCTTACACGATTGGTAGATCACATTTGAACTCATTAGCAAGAGATTCAGAAGCTGCCATTAATCGAGTCACTCGCATCACTGAGCGTCGATGTGAACCAGGTCACTACTGCGTCAATGGAGAGCGTTTTGCTTGTCCTGCTGGGACGTTTGGCGACAAATTTGGACTTTTAACGTCAGAATGCTCAGGCAAATGTGCGGCTGGATATTATTGTCCAGAAAAAAGCATCGTGGCCGAAGCGGTGGCATGCACTACGAGCACAGCATTCTGTCCACCAGCTTCAGCGTTACCAAGCATAACGATGAAAGGATATTGTGCTATCTCTGAGGAAAGTGGTAGATGGTATGCACAACGAAAGGCAAAACCAGGTGAGTTTGCATGGCGAGGAATGTGCTATCCGTGTCCAGCGGGAACCTTTGGCTCGGAACAGATGGAGATACGTCAAACTTGCTCGGGTTCGTGTGCTGCTGGATACTATTGCCCTTTAGGAAGCACGTCGCGATTTCAACATGAATGCGGATCAGCATCTGTGTATTGTCCTGTTGCTTCGAAGAGCCCTTGGCAAGTACTTGCAGGGTTTTACACTTCCATTGACATCCGTGCGATCATTCCTAATAAAACACAAGCTCCTGGTTGTGAACCTGGTTTGTATCGAGACTATACAACTAGCGTCAATGCTTTTCTGGATGTTGTGACTGGTCGAAGTCCACTTGTTGTTGATTATGGAGACTATTCTTATCCAGTAGCCCGCTGTGTACCATGTCCAGAAGGAACGTTTAAGACACAAACGGGAGATGATGTCAGCCTTTGCACATCATGTCCGGAGTATACGACTGTGAGTTCAGATGACCGTCGAACATGTTTGTGTTTCAGACGAGCTGGTGGACAACAATTTGATGTCTCAAACTTTGCACTGTACTTTGACAAGACAATGCTCACGTGCGAACTTGTACCCAAAGCGCTTCTCACTACTCTTGCGGATGGAAACGACGAGATTAATTCAATATACACTCGTTCTGAACAATTTCCATGTGAACGAGGATATTTTTGCAAAGACGGCGTGCGAACTCCATGCCCTGCTGGTTTTTATGGCGACGGACTGCTTGAAACGCGTCCGACGTGCTCCGGCATTTGTTCGCCTGGATATTACTGCCCACTTGGAAGCTGGAACAGCACCGCGCATGCTTGTGGGGATGTTAATGTCTTTTGTCCAAGGGGTAGTGCTATTCCTACACCTGTTTGGCCAGGTCACTACTCCGTCACACGCTCAACAGTCACTAATTCTGAAGGACAGCAAGAGTGTAAGCCAGGATCGTTTTGCATCGATAGCAAATCATACTTGTGTCCAGCTGGACGCTATGGCGACAAGACAGCAGAGACGTCACCTTTGTGTTCAGGATTGTGTGCACGAGGATATTATTGTCTTGAAGGAAGTACGTCTCCAATGCAATTAAAGTGTGGTAGTGATGAATACATCTGTCGAACGGGGTCATCAAAGCCGCAGCTTGTATTCCCAGGGTACTATTCTATCGGTATCACCAATTCGACACGATTTATTCAAAGACCTTGTGAACCTGGATACTTTTGTATGCATGGCATTAAATATCAATGTCCTGCTGGGACATATGGAGCAACGAGTGGTCTTAGCACTGCAGCATGCTCTGGTAAATGTTCTCCAGGATATTATTGCCCGTCATTCCCTGGACTACCGAGTACATCGAAGACACAAAACGAGTGTGGCAATAGCTTCACTTACTGCCCTGAAGGGACTGGAAATGAACCAAAGGTTGTCGAAAGTGGTCAGTATAGTATTTCAACTAGTGGAATATCGGACGATGGACGCAATGCAACGCAAGATGATGTGAAAATTTGTCCCAAAGGTTTTTACTGTCGTCAAGGTATTCGCATTCGTTGTCCAGAAGGAACGTTTGGTAATCTCGAAGGATTAAGTTCACCAATATGCTGTGGGTGGTGTCCTGCTGGTTTCTTTTGTCCGTACGCTACAATAGATTATCGGACAAATCCGTGCATTCCTGGAACTTACTCCTCGAAAGGATCTACAACTTGCATTCAGTGTCCGATCTTTTTGCAGAAAAATGTATCAGAACTTGAAAAGCTTCGCTTTCTATCACAAAATCCACAGCCATGCACTACTCACCGCGAATGCTGCAATGACGTTTCGTATCGCTTAAATCTTGAATGAGTTTGAAGATTCTTTAGGATCACTGTCATGGTCATCCGATTTTAAAACAGAGTTAAATTTTCGTAATTGCTCACATCATATTGAAATTGTAGCACCCAATTCGTAAGAGCATTTGAATTGCCCGATGATAACCATCGCTTCAACATGCATACACTTTGACGTTCGATAAGACCTGCATCTTTGCATTGTAGATACAATTCTTTTACAATCTTTGATCATCTTTCTACATGCTCTTATTATTTACCAATTCAACAACTGTGAATTAATTGATGATATTCTGTCAGCAATGTCTTGACACAGTTTCCAGAGAAATCATATTGATTCAAAACAATATAATAATATTCTGTTTCTTCGACGAAGAATGGGATTTAAGTTTCCCAATGTTCTGCATACGAATGTCGAATGAGGAAAAATTATGTAGATACGCCTATTTTCAAAGTCCACACTCATGCGGTGGTATGAGAGACTCAAGTCGTAAAGCTCTTGGTCATCAATGCTTCCGTTTGCGACAGGCTCAGATTACTAAGTAAGTTGGAAAATTTTGCAAAGGATATTTTCTTGATAATTATCTTGTCCTACGAAAAATAACACAAATGCCACAAGGGGACGTTTGTGAAGGAGTGTATGGAAGGGGGCTCTCTGTGGAGCAGGTCCGACTGCCTCGTGTTGAAAATTATCGTACTCTGTCGGAGCGGCTCCTTGCCGTCAGCAGGTGAATACGTCACTTCGTGCGACGGTGGAGCGCCTTGCGCCGTTGGAAACGGAAGTTGTTGCACTCCGTGCTCAGAACCAGTTGCTGGTTCAGATTCTGTGGCCGAACGCCTTTGAACGCCGCCCCGGCGACAACGATTCGGCGTTCTCGTGCGTCGGATCATGGTACGGCTTGGGCAAGCCAATATAGAACACCAGATGGGTGCGCATCTTTGTGCACAAAGTGCTCCTGGCTCTCGAGGCCTTCCGCACAGCGGCATGTGACCTGAGCATAATACTATTTGGAGCCCCAATAACAACAATAATATACACCAGAACTCGACGATCATCGCGAGTGTCCAGAGGCGATCGAACAAGTCGTCATTGCCCCCCTCGACTCTTTACGACGTGAACGGTGGCGTCCACTATAATGTGAAACATCTTTTGGGTCGACGACGTCGACAGGTCAAACCCAATATTTTGTGAGTGGCGGGTATACCCAAACTCCGAGAACTCGTGAGAGTTTGAGGTGCCACTTCGGCAAGACTGCCTAGACATCGTGGATGCGTCGTCGTACGCCCCGCGCTTCTCGGCATTTGCCCGGGAAGCCGAAGGGCCATGAGCTGAGCCTATGCTATTTCCTTGAGCTGCTGTGGCCGTAAAATCACCCGTCTGAGAAACCATAGAACTCGCGGGAGCGTGATGGATGATTCCATGTGTCGCAGGGCGACTATTCGTAGGAAGACGGCGTTGCGTCTTGAGTTTGGCAAACTCGAATCGACGATGGCGTTCTACGCGCATGTCCACTTCATTGTTGTTCCGCTGTAAGTGACACAGCAAGGAAAGTTCCGGTGCCGCTTCGTCCATCGCTCATAGAGCTCTTCATTATCTGCAGCGGTTTCGCCAGGGTCGATCACCGCAGGAATAGCCCGCATTGCGGGTGCAGGAGCGCCTCCACTTTGAGCCCAAAGTTGAGCACAGTACCGATCCTTTGGGATTTCATGGGGTATCAAAAGGCGAGCTCGGAGAGCTTTCCGCTGATCAAGCTCAGCTTGTATATTGGTCGGGAGCCCGATTTCGTAGACGCCTAACGATCAAGTGATCGTGTCTTTCGTATCAGTAGCGGGATCCGCCGAGCAGAAGCCGTATTCCACACGAGGGTTTAGGATCAAGACTATCAGTGCATGAGAGCGGCTTTATGGGCAGCCTCCAATTGCTGCTTTGTGCCTTGTCGAGGCGATTGGTAACAATACCACTTCCCCCGGAAGTCGAGAGATCGGGGAACAGACACGGTGTCCGCAAGGTTTGAACTGGGCTCACGTCTCGCCGTCATCCTCTTCGTCTTTCCATGCTGGAAAAGAAGTATCCGACTTGTAGTCCAATTCCTTCGAATCCTCGGCGAGGAAATCCATCGCCCGTGGCGGGCGCGGTGTGTAGCACTCGGTTGCTGAGGGCTTGAGATGTGGTTCCCTGTGACGCGGACGTACTGTCCGGAGATGCACCCCACGCAAAGGATGAGGGGCTCTGCCCGCGGCCGCCTTCGGAAGTAGCTAGGCTGGGTGATTCTGGTCTCATAGACACAGGGCTCATTGAGCAGAGAATGCGTGAAGAAGGTCCTGAGGACGTAAAGGTGTCATAGACACGCTTGCCTCGTACGAGGCGACAATTAAATGTGAATTGTGTGTATTCATAATTTGATGGGGAGAGTGTAATGGGAGGTTAGACGTACCCTGTTACAATGGGGTGGGTTGCAGGAATATTGATTTCGCCGTCTTCCTCCCTTGTCATACAGCGGACGAGGGTGCGCTATCGTCTACCCTGGGACAGGTTCGACGCCCTGCGCCTTGCAGACAATGATCGGTTTCGCTGTTGCCTCCCATCCACAGAGTCGATGTCTCGACGAGACCAGTGGGAACACGCACTCCGCATGGTCCAGTGTCCCCACTCCCTGTTCCATCGGAGCCTAGATGTTATTAACAACATCCGACGAATAGATGCTATTTCCGCAGTCTTCGTCCAGTGGATAACGTGCCACTCCACGCCCTTGGCCGTGATGCCTCGGACCTCATCCGACCATACCACGTATGGCATGTAGCAACTGCTTTGAAACGTGAGCTGTGTTCATTGGATTACGTCGACTCCACGTGCATCACTGGGACCTCGCCCTCGATGTCTCGGCCTTTGGTTGACTAAACCACGCACGGCATGCAGCGAATGCTCTAAGAAGCGCTCATCGGGTTACGTGCTACCCCCGCAAGCCATGCTCAGGACTACACCTTCGGTGTTGACCTTCCCAGTCTATACAAAATGAATAAAATCTGACAAATCACGTATTTGTCAGATTTTATTCATTTTCAGCAACTTAAGAATCCAGTATACTAATGTATATATGCCGTTGATGCCTACTTTTACGTAAATTACATGAATAATCCACCCAACAAAACATCAATATAAACCATAGCTTCAATACATGTATCGAATTAGCAATCTGATGCAAAAACTTACGACTCTTTGACTGCTCTATTCTCCACTACTTCGTCTGCAAGACTCCCGCAGCAATTAACTTTTCAATCTTCGCCATGATTCCTGGATTCTGCAAGTGACGTTGAGCGCTTGCTGGGTCCGTTTGAAAATCATTCAAGACATTTTGCATGACTGGATCACGTAAAATTGCTTGAATTTCAGGATCAGCCATACCATGACGTGCACGCTCTTCATCAGTCTCACCACTTTGAATTTTATACATGACATTACGCAATCCGTCAATGCATTCTTGATTACTTGAGTCCAATGCCAATCCTTTTTCGTAACTCTCACGAGCTTTATGAAACTCTTTCATAAAGCATTGAATTGCACCCATGCGCGAGTAAGCCTTGACATACTTCGGATCAAGTTCAATGGCTTTTTCACAATCCTTTTTCGCCTCATTAAATGACGTCAATTTCGTGTATGCAGCCGCACGATTCGCATAATATACAGCACAGGATGGATCGCGTTTGATGGCTTCAGTGTAGCGTTCAACAGCTTGTGGAAACTCGCCGTTTTTGAAAAAGTCATTGCCTTCATTCTTGGCTGCCAACGCTTTTTCCGGATCAATATACGCCAATTCCTTCGCCTTTCGAAGCTTCACATGCAACGTCTTAATCTTTCGTTCCACATCTTTCGTACGATTCTCCATCTGAGCACCTTCATAAGCATTGATCGCTGCTTCTAAATTCTCTTCTGTTTCGCCCTTTTTTAAATGCGCATTGCCAATGCGAACATAAGCTTTAGCTATCAGCGCATAATCAGCACGATGTGCACGTCCAATCTCAATCGCTTTTCTAGATATCAAACACCAAATTAGTCACTTTCCATAACTTTTGTCAAAGTCTACAAATTACATACCTGCAATCTTCAATACATGCATCCAATTGTCCCATCTCGAGTTTAACAGCAGCCAAGTTGCTATAATACGATATATTCGTGCTATCTTTCGCAATAGCTTCATTGTAACACTCGATAGCTTCTGAGAACTTTTTGAGTTTGTAAAACTCATTGCCTCGTCCTTTCGCTTCTTCTGCCGCTCTTTTAATCGCTCGTTCTGCTTTTTCTTCGTCCGTTAATTCTTCTTCCATTGGTGTTGGCTCGGGTACAGGTGGTGTCTCTGTTTTTTTAGGTTCAGCCATTTCAACATCATCTGTACCCGACATGTTCAAATTCAAACCCATCAATTCACCTAAAACTGTCATAATGCGTGTATCTTGAATATGCTGATTAATCTTCGAAGGATCACGTTGAATCTCTTGTAAAATCTTAACAAATGCAGGATCACTTAACATTGGTGATAAACGAGGATTTGTTGCAATCTTTCCAAACATATCAGGTCCAAAAGCATTAGCTAGTGGATTGAATGTCCTTGACGACGCTGTTTGTGCCTTCTTCACCTCTTCAATCCCATTTAAACATGCAGTATTACCAGCATCAATTTGTAAACCAGCAGTATACGCAGATGTAGCATCATCATAGCGTTTTAATGCGTGAAGTGCTGCACCCTTGCGAGTATAAGCCTTGGGCCAATCGGGTTTTAACTTAATACACGATTCCGCATCTTCTAAAGCATGTGTAGCATCATCAAGCGAAAGATACGCCGCTGAACGGTTGGAATAAAAGACATGATCCGTTGGATCTAACGCAATTGCTTGAGTGTAGCATTCAACGGCTTCGTTTGGATTCCCAGCGCTTAATGCTGCATTTCCTTTCGCTTTCCACTCGGCAGCTGTCTAATGATATTGCAATGTTATTGTTAGTGATTATTAGAGTCAAAAAGAAGAAAAGAATTAAAGAATTGAACCTGCGCCATTCTTCTCTCTCTTTTGAATATTTAAGACTGAGTCGATTCTTTGGTGAGAGGGGAAATTCTGGAATTGTCTAGGTGAGTATTTATTAAGTGCGAAATAAATGATGAATGTAAAATTTACGAAAAGAAAGATACAATATTTGTATTTCTTTACTTTTTAATGTTAATTTGTGAAAGAGGTTGCACGAAAGTAGATGGTGTGATTTCTTGACTAAATATCCAAAAGACGAAATTCAATTAGAAATTCAACCTCCACCTCAAAAGTAAAACATACCTAAATTCATGAAAACGTTTAAGTTCCTTTGAAAAAAGAGCAGCTTCACACTCAATAACATCTTGAGATCTCATCTTACGTTTTTGACTTGGACTGTTGTCTATAAGCACTAAATAAAAACACATTTCAATCCCATTTTTCATTTCTAAAAACATTTCTTAAAGAATCACGTACGACATGGCGTTGAATCTCTTCTTGCTAATAATTTTCGATGTAAATCTCGTCGTCCACGTTCTGGAGTCTCGTAAATTACAACACCCGATTGAAAACTTTCTTTCTTTTCATCAAAACACGTTTCGACAGAAGTTAAGGAACATTTCTTAAGTGCCAATTTTTTTGTCGGATCAACATTCTTGGTAGTACCAGGTACATCAATTGAAACTGGTACAACATGTGCCCCAAGATGACCTGGAGGTGGACATTGGTACTCAAGTTCCCACCATGGTACAATCTTGCTAGTACAAGTACTAGACGTTGATACTGGAGTTGAATGACTTGTTGTTGATATACCACTACAATTGGCATCAATGTTTAATGACAAACGTGATTTCCCTGATCCAAAACCTCTTCTAGAACGATGCAGACGTGTACCAAGACGTGGGTTCAGTGTAGGTACCAGTGTAATCGTTGGTACAACTGAACTGCTGTCGAGATCGTTCAATTTATTCATCGTGAGCTAGCGTTGTCATACACAAGAACAAAATCTGATCGTCGACTCGTTAGGTTCCGAGATCCTCAAGAGAAACAGTGGCGTTTAAAAGGGCGCTACCAACAGTTGTGCCACTTTAAGTGGTTACAGTTACGATCGTCCTGACCTTTGTAACTGAAGACCCAAAAATGAGCCGTTAAACTTATCCGATCCCATCGAATTATTTGCTTGTAATGTGGTTGAAGTGATACACTTAACGAATTGAAATTGTTTAAATGGATTGAGACATTGTTTAAGGAAGAATTCTGCTTTGAATATGTACGATGAAAGTTAGAAAAGGCTATACACACGATAGTTGATAACACTATTTAGATGTCAAACATGCTCCTGTATAACGTGAGAATACACTTGTGCATGTTTAAAAGGCAAAGCTGTAGCCATTGAATTTGTCCTTACAGCACAGAAGATTGGAGCTCGGTGTAAGATTCCCCCGCAATAATAACTTGAAAGTTGTACAGTGTAAATTGTACGATGAAACATGAGATCACCAAGTTTTAGTAATCATTTGTAACCTTTGACGTTTGTGAGCACTTGATACATTGTCTAAACTATCTGAAATGAAATTTGAGTTCTTGATTTGAAAATTATTTAAGTTGATGCTGCGGCTATTGTCCCGACTCTCATCACAAATGTACCCATAAAAATAAATCCATTTTGACATACAATGGCCGCTCCTGGCCACGCTGACTCGTGAAATTTGTTATTCACGTATACATGCGTATAGATGAGCACGGAAGTCATGAGCGATATCAAAAGCAAAACCATGCAAAATAGTACAAAATACCTGCGTAATAACATATAGTAAATACTTGTAAGCACGGAGCAATTCATACATCACTAACCGCGCTCTAGTTGCTACATTAGAGCCGTAAGTAAAGCTAGCATCTTCGGACAACATTGACCAGTCCACTGTATTAACTCTGTAATGAAATTAAGATGATATTATTATACTAAAGAAACAAATCATATATTTGATCACGTACAAGAAGAAAGCGAGCATGGAGACGATACCTGGCAAGTATTTGACAAAATCAAATGGAATTTGAGAATGATGATAATTTGCTGATGCTGCTCCATCTGCCAATATCCACCAGCCAACACCAATTAAGATTCCGGCCATATAGCTCCCCGCTTTCCCAGGATCCACATTCATAGTTAAAAATACTAATATTAAATATTATCCTCGTTTTAATGACAAGATAAAATATCACTTGAAATCTTCTTCAGTGAATAAACAAGATTAATACAATGGAACTATCTCGTGCCGAGAGTGCGCTACGTACGCTCAAGAATCGCCCAAACGTACCGCAAACAGCAGTCAATACCTCATTTGCTATTTTAAATCTTCTATGTCCGTCAAAATGTCCTTCTGAGTCACCAACAGAAGCTTCGGATATTGTTCCTTTAGGTGATGAAAAAACAAGACGCGAGTTACTCGAGACTGAACTTCAGACGCTTCTTGTATATGGTAAAGAACGTTGGGAACCAATTGCTGTATTTCTTGTTGTAGTACGCGATTTATTACGTCGCTATTTGAAACTTTCGGATTTGGATGAAAGTCTTGAGTTTAATATTTCGACTCCAGATCTTCCGCTTTATGTTTCGAGTATTGCGCCATTATCAACTCCTTTCATCACACAAACAGTAAAGCAAGTGATTCATCAATATCTGGAATATTATGAACCACGAGTTCGGATGGCAATTGCTAAATTACTTGGAATATTAGCCAAATGGGATCTTCAATGGGTAACTCAAGAGTTTACACCTCAACTTGTTGATTCTATTGTTTCAAATCTTAGTCGTTCACCCGATTTTGAAGACACAGGATTTGAAGAATTGGATGATAATATCAGTCAAAATGGAATGATAACTCCACCACAAAGTCCAGAGGGTACCCCGCGTACTCCTTCAACTCCTTATCGGTTAGATGATGTAAGTGGATGGAAAGCTCTTGAAAGTTCATTATGTGGTTTGAAATATATAATTCAAGGAAGTGGAATGGAGTTTCTACAAGAAATAATGACAGAGGGTACACCACATTTTCGTTATTTGACATCCGAGATTTTCGAATTTTTCTCGACCAAAAGTTGTTTTCATATAAATCGACATGTTCGAGTTGTTGGACTTGATACAATCACAATTTTGTCAAATATTGCACCAAAAGGATTTTTTGAAGCTCATGTTACTGATGTAAGTGATACTATAAACAAATGTATCAAACGTGGATTAGAAGATAATTGGTGTCAAGTACGTTATGCTGCTTCGATCTCAGCACGTGCATTTTTATTAAAATTACAAGAAGAAGGACGTACAAGATATTTACCAATTTTACTACCACGTTTGTGTTTCAATCGTTATTATATTGCTGAACGTGTACAAAAGTATTCACAAGAATCATGGCGAATGATTGTAGGAGATCGTGGATGTGAATTAGTTGCAAAATATGCGACTGAAATTGTTGATTATTATGTTGAAATGACATCTCATTGTGTTCGAGAATCTGCATGTCAGTGTATTGGAGAATTATGTACAAAAGTTGAACCAAATGCAATTCGTCCACATGTTGAAAGATTAATGCAAGCATTACTTGTCTGTTTTTACGATGTATCAAATTTAGTACGTGATGCTGCATGTCTTGCATCTGCACAATTGGTTCTTCGCTTTCCAAATGAATGTCGGCCATTTTTGAATGAATTATATCATTTGTGGATTGATCATTTAGCGGATAATATTTGGTCTGTACGTGAAGATGCAGCAATTGCATTGGGTAATGTGATACGAGCTTATGGTGAAGAAGCATTGGATCGAATTTTGAAGATTGTAGACGAATACTTACCACTTGCTAAGCAACAAGCAGCTATGACATTACAAGAATATGACGATCTCATGCGTTCTGAAAAGAAACATTTAAGCAAACAAGCATTTTCGTGTTGTTCCTTAGAACCAAAATTATTTGAACGTCATGAACATCGTGAAAAAGAACCATGGGAACATGCGGATGGTGCCATCTACATGGTACGTGAGCTCTGTAGTGTTGCTCCTGATGTCGCTGTAAAGTATCTACCACAGCTAGCAGATATTGCGATCTTACGTCACTATCCTCAGACTGCTGTGTTACAAGAAACACTATGGAAACAGCTTCCATTAATGTGTGAGGCACTGGGTAAAAAGGTTTTTAAGCGATATCTTGAATTGTTCTTTGATCCACTAGTTTTTACACTACAAGGCTCGAATCGTCTTGCGAAGTTTGCAGCACGTGATTGCGTTGCACAAATCAGCAAACAGATTGGACCAAGTATCTTTCTTGGCCGTTTAGATGCAAATCCTTGTTGGAAGGAAACTCTTGGTCCGTTTGTGCCGGTGCAGTCGTATATGATCAAGGAAACGTAATTGAAAAAGTGTGACGACGTGGACAAAACGAACGCAACTATTCAAGAACTTAATCCAAACTTAAGCGCTAGCATGATTCTACTCTTCTGCATGTTCATTGAATTTTCAATATATTTCTTGATATTGAGATGAAGCGCTTTGAATGTTGAGATTTCATATAACATGACTCATACTTGACCTTCATACTGCGGCATCTCCTCCATCTTGTTCTTCTTTTGGTGTACAGTCAAGTACCACGTTAAAACAATACCCGCAAGAAATGCACAGATAATCAATAGTAAGCTTAACATTCCGTTCATGATCGTGGATTCTTCAATGTGATTTATAATTCTAAGAATGCAGCTACGTGGGACAAGACGTCGAGATTTGACGTACGAAACAAACATAGAAGTTTACACCTTTTGTTTTCGTAATATCACATCATCTCCAAGATACTATCGCATCAAAGTGAATGGAAGTATTTTGCTTTGAGCGAGCTTTTTGTTAGGTGGAGATCTATTTCTCGCAGAGCTCCAAATGTTAAAAGATCTTATTGTTGACTGGCCTCGTTTCACCCTTCAGTCCGAAGAGAAAGATCTTTTTTTCTGCCGGATGGAGACCCAGTATAAAAGATGATCAACGTAAAATTGCAACGTATCGACATATCTGAGATATATTTTATTAAAGAGCTTGTCGACAAATAGAAAAGTTCCTGCCCACGACGCAGATATCATTACATCACCAGAGTTTAGGAGCTGTTTGCTAAACTTTTAGCCATTCTACAGCAATTATTGTTACGAAATGAGCACAGTGTCTTGAGGTGTCTACTTGTAGCGTTCGAAGGTGTGTCTAGATGTCTTAAGCGGAAAAGCAGAATGACATTGATCATGACTTAGCTCTACATGTAAAGGCTGATTTGATGTCTCTGTTGTTGTTCTCTCGTGTAGACTCATGCTGTTCTCTATTCCCGGCTGGTGACAGAAATTCAAAGCAACGTTAGCAATCAAACTAATGTAACTTCAAAAGCTGACCAACATCCTTTGTGGAAATCAAATTGTATTCATGACGAAAGTGCTGTGGAAACTTTTATTCAAAGATAATCAAAAAGAGTTGAGAGCATATCGATCACGGTCAAAGCTTATCGACTTTGGATCTAGTAACGTTTATAATTGTCAAGCGCTTCTGACTAAATGTCAAAAGAGCTGTCGGATACTTGCGAAGAAGGCAATTGAGCAATTGCATAGTCGCAATAATGACATGACTGTGTGTTGATTACAGTGATTGATTATTCCAGATTTCTGACCAGGATCTATATCTTTGTTATGGCCTCGCGCGATCTAAACTAATTAAGATCGACCAAAGGTCTAATGCCCTGATCGACAATTTTACGCGCGGTAATCCTGGCTTAAGATCATTGCAGGTCGTCTTAGCAACATTTCTAATGTTGCAGCTGTCAACACGATCATTGCTGAACAAAATACAGCCCAGATACTACTCGATGGAGGACCTCGCCAATATGGCTTGTCGGTGGCCATCTTTCAGATCCAAGAAACTTATAATTATAGGT